AACATATTTACAGTACTATAATGGAGGATCCTGTAAATGCTATGAAGCAACCAATATAGAAGAAATATAGAATAGAATAAAATATTATTCGCCAGCACAGTCACCAGAAGCACATGTGAAAACAGTTTTCTAATTTTTATAGAGAGCGTTTCCATATTTTCTGCTTAAATAAGGTTTGGATATTCACAACTCAACAGCAATGCCTAACAGCTTTCTATATTTAGAGAGTTTCTCCCCAGTAAGGAATGTTCTGTGGGTACTCCTTCTCAAATGCAGTGAGTGAAACAGAGGTACTGGAGGCTGCCTTGAGGTCCTTGAGGAACCCCCTGTGTTTGCTGATTTCAGACCCAGACAAGCTCTTAATCACAGGCTGATTGATTTATGTTTTCCATGTTGGGCATATTTGTAATTCAAAAAATATTTTGCTTTCTGTTCCAAAAGGTCATTTATAATTACAGAGATTTGTAATAGGTTACAGATCCGTATCTGTTTTAGAGTTTTGCTGTGGCACCTGAAATGAAGCCAATTGGACCTGCAGAAGGAAAATCCTCTTCTGGGCATGTTTCATACCTTGTCTGTCTTCAAAGTGGGCATGTTCAATAATGTCATTCCAATTGTGGGTGCTTTTCTAATAGTGTCCCTCCTTAAAATTAGCGTGTCAGATATAGGGTCACTCCTGCTATAGGCATGTCTGATACCACATCACTCCCACCCTTCTGTTCATTTACAATTCACCGTCAAGTAAGAGCTGTTTAATCAGAATCAACGGGAAATGTGAGAATGACTGTCAGTGAAACTCTGAACTCTGGAGAGGTTCTGCCTGGGCTTCGAGCACTATAGCCTGTAGAGATCACTGTGCTTTGGAAAGAAGAGCCCAGAGGCCCTGCAGGCTTTTTGAAAGCTACATCTTTACTTGATGATCAGTGTCAGCAGATGCTTTGTCATTCACGCGCTGGGCCACGCTCATGGCAGACTTTCTGATCGATCAATCGATCTCGATCGATAAGTGGAGCAGGGCGGTGTGCTTCCCCGTGAAGCACACTCTCTGAAAGGCCACGAGCAGGTCCTGGTGATAATCCGTCAGCTGGAAAGGCATGAATGGCGCAAAGACACCCAGGCTGGACTCATCCAGGCTCCACTTCTTCACCAGCCCACCTTCGTACAGAGCATGGACGCCCTCGCTGTGGATGGCAGCCAGGTCACTCAGGGCCAGCTCCTGGCAGGCCTCGTCGCTCCTCCCCAGGAAGAACAAGGACTCGTCTGACAAGGTGTGAGACGCCAGACCAGCCTGAACCTACTCTAGAGCGCTTCGGTCATGTAGTTAATAAAGATCGACGGGCGATCCGTAACGCCCCAGCGGATCCCTTCCTTCTCCCAGAATCGCTCCTTGATGACCAGGATGAGTTCAGTCCAGCTTTTGTAGTGGAAGCTCCGCAGGGCCTCTCTCTTGTGCCGGGAGAGTGGGGGGTAAAATCTGATGTTTAGAGCTGCCTTGGCTGTGAAAGGGAACAGGAGGGAGTCTGCCGTCATTTTGACCGAGTTGTCCGTTTTGTGTTTTTATGCAACCTGGACGCCCCCTCTGGTCTGATTTATTTCCAAAACTTGAATTCAGAAGCACACAGCTGCTCGAAGGTCTTGACTCACAGCCTGAGGCAGCAGACCTGTGGAAACAGATCAGAAGGACAGATCATTTTTGTTATTTTTATGTTCTTTTTTTATCACATTTCTCATTGTTTTAGGTAAGAGTCACACATTCTTCTAGAGATTAAGAGCTGCAGAAATTCTCATTCAGACATTCTGTATCAGGGATCATACTGTATAGTTCACAAGGAATTCCAACATCCAAGAATCAGGTGCTTTGCAGATGTTTGATTATGTAATTATTTTAGTTTTATCTGCTTGGTTAAGAGGTGATCGGACGAGGAGGCTCGACCTCCAAACAGAAGCAAGTGAACCCCAAAACCACCAGTGC